ATACTATACTATAATATACTATACTATAATACGCATACTATAATATTAATGTGCATTATTAATAATGCATATTAATAATATTAAGGGAGTGGAGCATCTCCCTTATGAGGAGTGGCTGAGGGAGCTGGGTCTCTTTAGTTTGCAGAAGAGGAGACTGAGGGGAGACCTCATTCGTGTTTATTAATATTTAAAGGGTGAGTGTCACGAGGATGGAGCCAGGCTCTTCTCAGTGACAAACAATGATAGGACAAGGGGTAACAGACACAAGCTGGAACACAGGAGGTTCCACTTAAATTTGAGAAGAAACTTCTTCTCAGTGAGGGTGACAGAGCACTGGACCAGGCTGCCCAGAGAGGTTGTGGAGTCTCCTTCTCTGGAGACATTCAAAACCCGCCTGGACGCCTTCCTGTGCAACCTCATCGAGGTGTTCCTGCTCCGGCAGGGGGATTGGACTAGATGATCTTTTGAGGTCCCTTCCAATCCCTAACGTTCTGTGATTCTGTGATATAAGATATATATGATAATCCATATGAGATATAAGGTTTAACCTGACTAGCACAGAACCATACCCAGTAAAGCAGCAATGGCTCTATTTTGTTAGATAGAAATGAGGAAACAACATTTTTATTTCATAGTAGACAAGCCAACAAACTGTTAGGGTGAGTGAAAGTAACTACTAATACTTTTCGACACAACAGAGAGGGTAAGATACCAACTAAGACCTTCAGATAGCTTTAAAGTGCAGCGTATATAAATCTGCATTACAGTAAAGTGAGCATGGGTGCAACTAGAAAACAGTACCATGAAAATCTTTCACAAGTTACATCACCCACTCTGACATAAAGCTAATGCTCCACCTGCTGTTTCTGTATTGAACAGCATGTGAGGAAAAAAGTTTTTCTGCCCAGTGGCACAGAGGAACCTGTAGTTTGCTATCAACTTTGAGTCTGCCATCCTTCACGTCTTAAATAGAAGAAAACTCTGCTGCTTACCTTCCACCTGACCAGTCTGTGGCTGTGTTCCGGGGTACGGTGGCTGCTGTGCCTGAACACTAGGGGGATGGGCTGCAGAAGAGGAGGAAGCGATGCTGTCTGGTGTTCCTGATCGCTCTTCAGCAGGGGCACTGGGTGGTCCTAGCAGAGCAAGTATACAGTACACGAAATGAATTGAGAGTATGAATAAAAACCCCCTAAATTAATACAAGATTGTTCCCTTTCGAAGTTTTTAATATTTTTCCAGTTTTCTGTAGAAAACACCAAAGCTAAAACTAATACATTTGCACATCTACACTCTCCTTGGAAAATATTTCTGGGGAACTTTGCACCTGTCTCTGTCACCCAAATTTCATTCTTCCAAGAAGTCTCACCTGTCTGTGGGATAAAAACCTGAGTGACAACATGTTTTTTCCACAGCTTCAGGCCTTAATCTTGCACACGTACACTGAAGACTTGCTATTCGTGGACAGAATATGTACCTATATACCTGTACTTTCTAAACTGGAGCAAAGGTGCAAGGCTGCATGAAGATGTTCAAAGGCTGTGTTTTATTTCAGCCCAGGCAACAAAATGTTTTACCAACAGTCATACAGCACATGAACAGAAAACCTCTAAGGAAATGTATTAAATTTGCATTCCTAGACAGGATATGGCAGGCTTCAGTCTAAAAGCAATTGTCTGCTTTGGTAATTTCGGAAACATTCCAGCTAGCACCCAAAGAAAGCATGGAAACAGAGAATTCAGATTTTCTCTACATTAGTGAGAAGTTCTGAAATATCCAAGTGAACAGGTGTAACATAATAAATTAAATGCAAAATATTTTGTTAAAATTAAAGGAGCTTAAATTCAGATCTTTCCAGCACTTCTACCTATAAGGCATTACTTTGAAATACATGCTTAAACACAAGTACTAGAATTGCTGCAAATTCACTTCCAGTTTTAAAACAGTTATATTTACACAATATAAATATGCATCCAACAAGCCCTTACGCTTATGTTTCCAATTTCTTTTCAGGTTTCAATGCTACACCAAACCTTGACAGATCTCCACAGATTCTGAGCAAAATCACTTCTCTATATTCTGCATCACACCCCCTACTACATTCTGTGTTGCTTTTATAACTTCAGTTACCCTGCCCCAAGTTAACTGCATTTGGTTTAGTATAATCACTTTTTTATATGATTAGCATTCTGCTACTCGGTGGGGCCAGATATGCACCTCTTCAAGAATAAACATAATTCATACAAGTAGGTTATTTTTTTTTTTTACTGTTAACAGAAAGGAAAAGACTATTTACTTTTGAAATGATACAGAGAAAAGGCAGGGTCATAACAAAACATTCTGATTGACCCAAAGAGCAGAAGCACACGCCAAGAATGCAAGCTGAACTGCAAGATCAAACTCTACAGCAAAGCAGTGGATACTGTTTTTCTATCACTGGCAAATACCAATTAAGTCACTCTACACAACAGCTTTAAGTAATTCAAGTAAAAGTGAAGCCATTTTCTACTCCAAGCTAGAACACCACACTAAAAACAACAGCAACACTTCAAGATTTTGTATAAAAGAGGTAGCAGACAGTTACAACAACTTAATATAAAAAGTTTTAGAATTCTGAAAAGAAACAGTGAGTAGAGAACACAGCTCAATACCTCCAAAATACAAATGCTTTGCTAATAATCAAGATTTGAGTCATCAATTATGAACAGGTTTTGCTTTCCTTTTCATAAGATGTATTCTTACCTGACACCTGATCATCTGTCAAGCCAAATGCTGACATGACATTCTTGCTGATTTCATCCTGGTTCTTTAGTGGATCAAATGCTGACATGCTTGCTGCTATAACTTGAGTAGATGGCTTAACATTAGAGTCGGCAGCAGCAGGCTTTTCTTCCCTACCGTCCACAGCATCTACAAAACAAAATGCCCAGCTATTAATTCTTGAGAATTGAAACATTTATAGAACATAATACATAAATAGTGTACTACAGAGAGTTTAAAACTGTGTATTTGTGGGGTTTTTTTTACATGTTTTAACTGTTGAAATGCTTACATTAGGATAACAGTGATGAATCAGTGATGTATTTGAAACTGTGATGAATCAAAAAGCTTATGTTCCATTGCTCAGTTACTTTAAGATACACTGATACCATGGAGTATCAAGTTTGTCTTAAATACAAAGGTACAAGGCTCCTGCTTCAACAAGTTTTTCTGGTATGACTTGCCTACAGAGATTTCAAAAATCAAAACTTGCACTATAGGTTCCAGTTTATAACTGTGTTTTATCAACTGTAGTTTTTGTTTCATTCTATCCCCTTTTCCCCAAATTCTTCCTATGCTGACAGATGAATTACATCTCTTTGCAATTATAAAAGTAACACTGAATCAAACAACCCTTACGCAGTAGACTGCTATTTCCACTTAAAAAGAAAAAACAAGTGCAGATAGGGTTTAGATTGTCTACTTCTGTTTACACTCTAAGATCGACACTATAATCCCCTTCCAAGTGATTTATTACCAGAATTCACAGTACTGCGCTGAAGTTAGTAGTTGCTTATATTGTAGGAACACAGGCTGGGATTTTTTAAGCAACAAAACCAATAAAACATTGAAGTGTAAAATACTAAAGCACGTTTTCTAAAAGAGAGCCTGGAGTTTTCAGTTCACCTCTTTACTCAGAACTCTGTACTCCATGACTGTGTCACTGTTTTCCTGTGTCCAGCTTACCCAAAATCTGTGGTTAAGCACAGAGGTATGGTTTTTACAGTACAATACCCCTAAGCTAGGAGAGCGATGCCTCAGAACTGGGAGAGTAAGACTTCCTTCTCTGCTTTGCCCTCCCCTTTTAATACTTTCCCACCCCTATCTACACCCTTGTGCTGCTTACCCCGAGACAGCTCAGATGCTGGCCTGAGCTCAAAATGCATGGATTTAATTTCCTAACCTGGCAAAAAAATGTGGATATAATTTCTGCTGAATTTGCTTTTTACTGTTTTAGTGATTCAAACTTGCTTAGCAACACGACAAGATAAGCACCAGAGCTAGCCCAAAGTAAGCAGTGGGAGTGCACAGCTGGGAACAAGAACTCTTCAGCAAAAACAAACTTATTAATTCAGCTCAAAGCCCTCTCAAAATACTATTCTGACTCACAAGCGTTAAGTTAGAGCATTTTCATACACAGCAACAAAAACTCAGACTCTGAAGTTTTATTCCTAAGTTACCTTAATGCTTTATTCCAGATAATTTGAATAAAAATTCTGCCTCTGAAATAGCTGTAGCAGTAAAAATTAAGTTCTGAACCATTAAGCAACAATTAAGACTGATCACAACCAGTATTCAAGCCTTCATTTTTCACTTTGTTAAACTGCACACAACTCTGCAAATCAAACCAAACAATTTTTTGCCAGGTTGCCTACCACTTTCAGGCAGACTAGTGGAAAGCTCTGGTTCAGCTGGTGGCTCTAAACAGTCCAGTAAACGATTTACTTTATTGCGAAGTTCTATCAGCTCTCGACGCAGGTATTTCACCTGATTAGATTCTAGGGGTCTTGGTTGTCCATTCACTGCAAAACAGCAATTAGATAAATTTAAGACTGTAGTAACATTTTGACATTGTTTAAAATTGAAAAAAATAAAATCACAGCCTCTACTTGCTTGTAGCATCATAATCTTCTGTGGATCTTAAAGTGACGCAGTTCAGTCCACACAAGACTGAACTCATTCTAGAGTTTATTGTTCCTTTAACACAATCTCATTTCAGCATAATCCACAGTACCAGAACTGCAGAGTAAAGTCTGCAGGAAGTTTCTGCATTGTTTACTCATTTCAATGAATATACCCTGAACAATACAAATATCAAATACTTGGCTGTGGAAAGCTGTCCCTTTAGAAAGTATCTTTAGAACTAAGGCAGCAAACATAGCACTGCTGCAATTCAGGAATAAGGTCAGTATCCAGATTAAAGACTGCTATACCTTGGAACTACGTGCTGATTTCCCAAAAGCAGCTTGAAAATACAGAACTATTTTATACAAAAGCCAAAGGATAAATGTTAAAATCTATTCAACTTCAAGCAATTAATTTTAGTTTTTAGCAGTGTACTAGTAGCAGTGCAATTTTAGAATCATCTTAAATTTCTCAAGTACCTGTGAAGAATACCCCACAAATGCTAAAGGGTGGAAGGTAATGTGGAAAATAACGTCAAGAAAAAACAACTGTCCATATATATCTGCTTGTTAAATACTTTAAACAATCTTATAAAAAGAAACAGCTTCTGTTTCCGTAAATTTGGATGTCACATGAAACATCGAGAGAAAATACGAATCACGTATTAATCCAGTATTTTTAACTTACTGATTTCATTCTTCTGAGTTGACAAATTGAAAGTTTTTAGTACCTTCCAGTGAAGCCCACTGCCTGAATTTCAATGAACGTTATGTAAAAAAAAATAAAAAGACACTCCTCTATACTTACCAAACAATGTCAGCTTAAGTATCCTACTGCACTGAATTGCAAAGGAAAGATCTGAGCTATCAAAAATTGTTATAAGATCTCCATCTGAAAAGAACAAGAGAAAGCTACATTAAAAGCAAAGCCTATTTACTACTGAACTTCACACTAACACAGAACTGTTACTTCATTACTGAAAAATAACATTCCCTATTTGATTCTGAAACTACTAGAAAAAACTTACCAATTAACACTATCACAAAGGGTACCATACCTCATTAGACGGAGAATGAGAAAACTGAAGATGCAGAAGTAGTAAACAAAGGGTTTTTTCTGTCACTACTAAGAAAGGCTTATAGCCTTGTTTCCCTGAGCTACAATCAATTAAAGACAAATTCCTAATTTAAAAAGCACCTGTAATAGCTTGGGTGGGAAGAATTATTTCTAGAATTATAACACTTATCAATAAAAAAATGAAGTCCTCAAAAACAAGTTTCCTTAAATCATATCATAGCAAAGCAAAAAGTCAGACTTGTACATAACACAACAGAAAAACATTTACTACTTTAATGCAAGGAAATTATGCACAGAAGGTAAGACAGAAAAATGACTGGCTTCAAGAGAGAGCCTTCTGACAACAGCTCATTCAAAGCTCCATATAGCTCATAATTCTTTTATGTTTGCACAAATAATGAAACATTAGAGCTACAAGCTCACAAAGGCCAACACCGGGAAGAATGATGCTGCCAGTTAAAGTTATATGCCCATTTGAAGTGGCTCCAAAACTGTACTGTTCATGAACATACACGAGAGACAAGACAACACAATCCAATCCAAATTTAATTTTTAAAAAACAAAACACTCACTAAAAAGGGAAAATTTTAAGAGACTAGAACTCTTTCTCAAGTTATACTCAGAACACTGAGGTACAAGACTGATTTTCAACACGGGAATGATAATATAGTTCTTGTGTAAAACTGAATAGTAAAAATACTTATCAGCCTTATCGCACAGATAGGAATGAAAACATTAATTTTTTCAGAGCATAATTTTTCTCTCAAACCAGGAACTTGACACAAAGTCTCAACTCTTAGCCATTTATTTTTCTGTGGCAGATTTCAGAGGAACTCTAAATCCCAATGCATCCTAATAAATTTGCACTTTGCCATCAGGCACAGAAGCTACATAACAACTGTAAGAGATCTATGTTTAAGATACAAAGGGCTATAAATAACGCACTGAACACCTTTAATCCTATTAATGGAAACTAAGTATCTCTTTTGGGCATTAAGTCTGGTCCCTCACAATTTTTAACCCGAGTCATGACAACAGACAACCACATTAACATCTTGCTTATTCAACATGATCACAGATAAAACACAACTATTCTCTTTGGCAGGATGGACTTTCTTCTGTTTTAACATATTCACCAGATTATTAATACATTAATGGATTAAATGAACACAAATTAGACAGTGTTAAAGAAAGAGTGGGAACACATTATCAGGAAAACATGTGTACTGGCAGAGGGAAAGAAGCAAGAGCAGGATCACTTCCTTTCAGAACACCTTGAAGACTGGGAACTGAGATGAGACTTTCTAGTGAAGCTTCACCTTCAGAAGCTACATCATTAAATGACAAACAGCTGGGAACACAGCTGACTCCAGGCTCCTTAAAACACTGTTAAAAGGAGGCTCTCTGGACAGACACAGAAATGTGTTTAATTATAGATTGCTGTGTGAAAATCCTCAGCCATTACTTATGTAGTGGTGACACAGAAGAACCAACTGTATAAAAGTTATGTTTAAAGAGTTCAAATAAATACATGCTTCAGTACGAATAGTCATAAAACACATGATGGCTAGTCAAAAAAAACTTCAATATTTGAAGAACTACATATTCTAATTTTGTTATACCCTGACTGCAAGTAACACTTCTGCAGTGGAAGCTTTTCTTAGTATAGAATGGTGTGTGAGTGGGTTGGGGGGGGCGGGGGGTGCTGTGTGTGCATGTGTGTGTACATATATGTATACATATTATACATATATAGCATCACCACTAATATCACCTAACAACACCCAGTTCCTTTCTAACAAAAGAAACAAGGAATCTTATAAAAATACTAGTAACAACACGTAAAACAACTTTCAAGTATTCCTGAAGGAAATACTGTTACCTCCAAAGGCTTTTTTTTTTTTTGTATTCGTTCTCCTGTTTGCACTTACACCATCTCAAAAAACATTGGTTGACAGCAATATCAGTCATGGATTTGCTGAGTAGAGACTGGAAAGTGTCCAAGCATGAAGACTCCAAAACCCCACTAGCTAATCTGCTCCAGTGACACACTGCCCTCCTGGCCAAAACTCATGCTCAACCTCTCAAACTGCAGTTGATGACTGCTGCCATCTGGTGCTACTGAGAAGAGTTGAGATTCAATGGTCTTTGCAACTCCCACAGTTAGCTGCAGGCTGCTATTAAGTTCTGCCCTCAGCCTCTTCTTCAGCACATTGAACAAGCCCAGCTCCCTCAAATGCTCCCTGTAGGCCACCTGTCCTAGTCCCCTTGCCACCCTCACCGCATCCTGCTGGACCCTTTCCAGTTTCTCAAGCCCTTTTAGCCTGGGATCCAGGGGGGAACCCTGAGCACCAAGTTCCCGGTGGAGCTTCACCAGTGCCAAGAGGAGGGCAATAGCGTCCCTGTTTGATCCAGAACAAGGGTTATACACAGACTCTAAACAAGTAACTTTCATAAAGTTAAACAGTCCTCTCTTTGGCAGTAAAGTGTGGGTTTTTTCCTTCAACTCAAACATTTGCCCCAGCTTTTCAGTATCCGTTCCTAAACGCCGATACCAAAATCCACTGGTGCCTAACACAGAGCCTTTCTATTCCATATTACAGAATCACAGAACGTTAGGGATTG